TTGCAAGGTAGTATTCGGATCATGATAGTGGGGGGTGGGGAGGAAGCGTTTAGGAACTAGAGCAAAGTTGTATATTTCATCGTTGCTACATCGCACCCTGACTGGCTGTCTCCTCCCCGAGACCCCTCTGCAAGGGGATCTCCAGCCACTGGATCTTATAACAACAGATTCATCGTGGTATTAAAAAGGTCCTCCAAACTTAAGAACTGAATCATAAAACCCAATCAAACTCACTGCCATCTGGCTCCTGGCAACCCTGCAGGCCAGGTAGGACTGCCCCTAAGCTTTCCCAGGCTACAAACCTCTGCAGCGCAGGTGGACACAGCTCTTTCCTGTGGGATGGCTGGCTGGGGGTTCTAACTGCTGACCTTTTGCTTAGCAGTTGAGGGCTGAATCATAGTTAAAAAGTTCTCCAAGCTCCCAAGTGAAACTTTATTGCTTTGATTAATGGCCTTAAATATGAAAGTTATTGCTTGGAAAGGACAATTCTTTTCCCAAACACCAAGGCTTATGAAAATGGGGAAATTCACCCAGGGGCACATCTCTCTGGAAACCACCATTCACAACTCTCATCATACCTACTAATTAGCCCACATGTAACGAGAATCTGGAGCTGCTGCTTATGACTGTAATTAGCTGGTGCCCATGGTTGGCCAGTGGAGCTGCCTGCAACCTGGTACTAATAAGGCCAAAGTCACTTCAGCCCTGGACCTCAGCTCGTACATTGCTCCCTAGCCGGAGACCAGGGAACAGGGACCACGGTCAGCTGGGTGACAGGTGTGGTAGGACCGGGTGGGCAGCCAAAGCACCCAGAGCATCTGACGTGTGGTGTGCCCACCAGAGCTGCCGGAGGATGGCGGGCCGGCAGCAGGCCTCCAGTCTGGAAGCCAGGCTGTGCGGGAAGGGGGGGCTTCGGTCAGCTCTATCTTCCTAACATCCTGCCAACGTTTTCATTCTCCAGGGGCACTAGGAAGCAGAGGGGGGCAGTGCTGGTGCAGGTCTGCACTCTCCCACTGCCACCAAGTCAACACTGACTCACAGTGACCCTAAAGGCCAAGACAGAACTGCCCCTCTGGGTTTCTGAGACTGCAGCTCTGGATAGGAGCAGAAAGCCTCCTCTTTCTCCCACGGAGCGGCTGGTGGATTAGAACTGCTGACCTTGTGGCTGGCTGTCCAACGGGCTCTTTGGGGAAGGTCACAGGGCATTCCAGTTTGCTCATGTTACACTTGCCTCTAAGGAGCTCCCTGGCGGCACAGTGGCTCAGCTTCTCACCACGAGGTCGGCTGTTGGAACCCACCCAGGAGCTCAGTGGGAGAAAGCTGTCGGTCTGTTCCCGTGAAGACGAGCCTCAGAAACCCGAGGGGCAGCACCCCTTTGCCACACCAGGTCACTAGGAGTCGAAAGTGGGCTCGATGGGACCAAACAACAACACACTTGGTTCTAACAGGTGTGTAACACACACGCACGCCTCTTCCACAGGTGTGAATCCTGCCCGTGGGCCCTAACTTTCTGTTTTTTATAAGATCTTACTCTGGGACAGATCGGAAGATGGAGCGAAATGTCGCCAAGCAGCTGTGGTCATGAGCCTGTCTCACTTGGCAGGACACCATCTGGAGCTACGATTTTCATGGAGGAACGGGGCTATAAAGAAGCTCAAGTATAGAGGTGATGGGAACCACATCCTAAGGATGACCTTTGGGAGGGGATGGTGACGCAGATGGTCCAGCTTTGTCTGGGTCTGGTCTGCAGAAGAGCCAGAGCCCAGAGCAGCGAGGGGCCTGGGCTGTCACGTCCTGCCAGCCCCATAGCCGGAAGGTGGGGGAAGACTTGGGGGCACGCCCCTGCCCCCATGTCCCCAGAAAACACTGAAAATCCAGCTGGCACATGAAACCCAGAAAAATCCAGTCCGCTGCCAAGGTCTGACTAGGCCACAAGCATTTTCAGTTCCTGGGGGCAATACTGCTGCATAAATACAGGGTCTGGTCCCCAGGGCGACTTCAGATAAAGACAGCCCTCCCTCGTGTTACAAACACATTCTTACTGACACCTTGGCAGCAGCAGCATGGGCAAAGAGCTGCGATCTGATGCAGTGGACGAGGTCCCCGGGCCAGCGGCCAAGTGCTGTTTTTATCAGAGATCCCAATAGCAGGAAATACAAGACAGCTCTGTAATTAAGAGGCAGAGCCTGGCTGCCCCTCCTTGCCTCAGCTGACTGGATTCACTTTAAATCTCACCGCCTTGTGCCCGCCCCGTGTGTTGCAATCTTTCAATCACGAGGGGTGGGGGGTGGGGGGGTTAGGTCAACAGCAGCTAAAAGCTTGTTAAATGAGTAATCATATTCCTGGTGTCGGCTTGACTCCCAGGTGGGGGGCGCCTGTCTCAATTGGTCAGCGGATCCTGGCAGGAGCAGCCTCCTCAGGAGTGCAGCCAAGGCCAGGAGCCATTCCCAGAAGGGCTGGCCAGGGTGGGAGGGAGGGGCTCACGTCCCTCTCAGCCACGCCTCTTCCCAGACCCGGGAGTGGGGTGGGCGACAGGTGCTCAGCTATGGGTGGGGGTGTTGAGAGTGGGAGGCTTACCCATGTAGAGAATTCCATCTGAGCTTCGGCACGGGGAGGCCTGCACCAACTCTGGGATGGTAAAGGGAAGTTTCTTTAAAAAAAAAAAAAAAAAAAAGCCAACAAATGAAACGCGAATTCTCCAAGTCTTGTGAAATTAGGACAATTCTACCGGGCAGCCTGTTAAACCCAACTTTGCCAGCAGAGAGCAGCTCTGTGGATGGTGGGTGGGAATGGTCCTAATTGGATGCCAAGGAGAAGGGTGTGCCCCAGACTTCCACACCCATTCCCGACAAGCCCTTGGCTCCCAGGCTCCTGTGCTGTGTACCTGCAATGCCTTGACACACCGAGAGGCAGGGGCCCCCAAGGTCTCCCATCTCTACTGCTTCCGGGTGACGGGGCTTTTCTGAGAGTGACTCCACTAGGGTGCGTCACACCACTCCTGACCGAAGGGTGGGGGAAGCACTCCGCCCTCAGAGGGGGTCACTGAGCAGAGTGGCAGTGCTGTGGAGTAGGCTTCATCCTCAACAGAAGTGACCCCCTGCCCAGCCTAGACTTCGAGGGAAAAGAGAACACTTTACAGGGATGACGCAAGAGTGGGAGGTGGAAAAGAAATTCCAAGGGTTTCTTCAAGTGGCTGGTTCTCTGTTGACCAAGGGAAGCCCCGGCCTTTTGGTCGAGAGGAGGCCGTTTCTGGCGAGGGCCAGGAAGAGAAACCCACCAGAGGAATCGGCATGTTTCCACTGCATGCCATCATAAAACTGATTCTTCTAAGGTCGACAGCTGACATCTGACTGGTTCTTTCGGTTAATGCTTGTTTCAGTGTGTTTAATTTTGGAACAGTCTGGGTTCTTGAAACTGCTCTATAGATATCTGCTTCTGCAGAAGCTCCATGCTTCTACACCTCGTCACCTTTTGTTTTCCTCCATGAAGGCGAAACTTTCTTTCTAGGCTTAAGAAGCAGAGAAGGGGATGGAGAGGGAGGGAAGCACATCCTGGCCCACCCAGCCCCAGGATGATACTCCTGCTCACAGCGGACAACGCACAGAGAGGGCCATAGGGCCGGCCCCACCACGAGACACGGCCCCCCACTGAATGGGGGACAACACTGGAGACACAGTGTGGGAATTGTGCCCAATCTGACCCCATCACACTGGGGCGAAACACCAAGGTCATGCAACAGAGCAGCAAGGGGAGAAAATCGATGAAATCCCCGGGGAATACCAAAAATAGACGTTGGAGACAGAGTGTGTCACCCTATCCGACTGACTGGAAAACACTCCAAAAGGTCAAGAAACAGACCTGGAATTATGTATAGGCTTTTCCTTTTTTGTCATTGGCTTTTTGTTGTTGTTATTGTTTTGTTCGTTTTGTCTTCCTTTGTTGCTTTGTTTGGCTTTGCCTGTTTTATGTGCTTATTAATGTCTCTCTGCATGACTACCTAGATAAGATAGGCGGGATATGGGAACTATATGTGACCTCCTCCCTGGGGGACAGACAACCGAAAAGAAGGGAGACGTCGGACAGGGCAAGATATGATAAAATACCAATTTATAAACTATCAAGGGCTCATGAGGGAGGGG